GGGGGGGGGGGCGTGAGTGGGCGCGCGGCCGGTGACGCGGGCGGGCGAGGGCGCGCCAGGCGGAGCCGCGGGGAGCGCGCGTGCGCGGCGCCGCGCCGGGGCCGCGCCGGGGAGGAAGCGCGCCTGCGTAGCGCCGGGGCTCGGGCTGGGGGCTCGGGGGTGGGGCAGCCGCAACCTCTTCGGCAGGTCGTGGCCGGAAGTGGTGGCGATTCCCGGGGGAAGTTGAGGCCCCGGTGGGGGAAGGGGACGCGCGGGCCGGGCCGGCCTGACCGGAAACGGCGGCCCGGGGGGCGCGTCTGGGTCCCCGGCCTGCTTCCCCCGTCTCCCCGCTCCTTCCCCTCTTCAGAGAAGCCCGGGTTCCGCTGCCGCCCCGGGCAGGCTTCGTGCGGCCTTTGATCCCGCCGGGGATTACGGGCTGTGACCCGGCGGGAGGCTCATTCATTCGCCCCGGCGCGGGCGGCGGGCAGGAAGCGCGTGCGCCGCAGGGGAAGTGGCTGGGCCAAGGTCAGGCACCGCGTGGCCCGCGGGACCGGGGAGGACGGTGGCCGGGCGCCCAGCGGTGCTGCTTGAGTCCCCATGCCCAGCCCCGGCCGCAAGGGGGGACACCCCAGTTCGTGGAGATAGGGGTCAGGCAGGCACAGGATGGCGGCGTCGCACGACGGAAAAGTGACCCACAGGCTGCCCTAGTGCCCGGCCCCATGCCGGGCACCAGGGACAGGGGCATGCACAAGGTCCTGGAGCGGGCGGGCAGAGACGGGGACCTGGACGCGGAGTACTCCCCTTCCCCAGAGGACTTGTGGGAGGTCAGGAGGGCCCTGGGAGCCCAGTCCAGAGCGGTTTCGGGGAGGGGGTCACTTGGTGTGGTTTCCTGGTGCCAGGCCCTGCGTTGGGTAGCGCTGAGGATCCAGGTGGCAGTCAGGGCTGGCCTTGCTCTGGGGAAGCACAGTTGCTGTTGATCCGGGCTTATCTTCTAAGACTGTAAGCCTCTTTGGCTAAACGCAGCTGTCATTCACCTGCCTGCCTTCTGCCTCAGTCCCAAGAGCATTCAGATCAGATTCCCACTTGTTATCTCTTGTCTTAGCTTTTTTCCCCTGGAAGCCTTCCAGGTCTAACCCGCACCCCCACCCCAGCGAGCTGAGGTAGGGAGAACTCCAAGGGCTTGTCACCATGCCTGGCCCATGAGCAGCACTGCGGCGTTAGGAGTGCTGGGGTCAGACAGACCTGAGTTCACATCCCAGCTCCGTACCTGGTACTTTGTGACTCTGCAGCACGAATGAGCGTAACATCTCAGTGTCTATGTGGATAAAAAGGAATGATACTGGTTTCGACTTGGTAGGGAAGCTCTTAATGCGTTCCTCTTAAAGCCAGAGCACATCTCAAGAGAGCTGAGTGTAAGGTATGTGAGGAGGGCCCTGGAGCCAAGCATTCCTAGGTCAGGCCTTGCTCCTGTCTCTTCCAGCATGGTGACCATGGACCTGTCAACTTTCCTCTTTCCTTGTTCGCCTAAGGCGGAGAGCACAGTCCAGCATTTCCTGGATAAGCCTGGCCCTGTGCTGGGCCCATGGGCACCATGGTCACAGCACTCTGCCATGGGGTGGGAAAGAAGGGTCCCTCAGCACACGTTTCTTGAGGCTTCCCTGTGCCAGACCCAGAGCTGGGTGACCCTGGGTGGCAGTTCCTGCCCTGCAGCTGCTTGGAGGCCTGTCAGGGAGACACATACAGAAGCAGGGAGTCGATTTCCTGGAACAGCCCCCGAGAATTACAGGTGCCCAGAGGGAAGCATGTCCCTGGGGGAGGTGGTGTGTCCTTTGTCTTGAAGGACAGGGAGGGATTGGCCAAGAGGACCCTGGGACTCGGGAGGATGATGGTGAACTCTGGACTCGCCATTCTGGCCCTTGGCCTCTAGCAGTGGCCTGGCTGGCCGGACCATTGGTAGTCGCTTCTGGGTACATAGCTCTCCGGGCAGCCATGCTCAGACACATCTCAGCTTCCAAACCTTGCTCGGTTGTCCTGCGTGCTGCCCAAAGCCTTGCATGTGCTGGGGCCTCCAGGAGTCAGCTGTGGCTCTGGCCTCTTGGTGGTGACAGACTAAATTTGACGGCACTTGCTTCCTGAGCACTTGGCAGGTGCCTGGTCCTGTGCCTGGTCCTGACCTGAGCTCTCAGAGGAGCTGGGATGGGAGTGGTTGCCCTTGGTTCAGGGGCATGGGATGGAGCCCCAGGCCCCAGAGCTGCACAGGGAGCACTGGTCTGCATGGGATTCCAGAGCTTGGCCCTTCACCATAAAGCCGCAGGCTTTGTTGACTTCTTTCTTTTGGCCAAGGCTGTGGTCTGGGGGAGACAAAGGTTATCGGGTTGGGGACTTGCTCTCTCTGCTGTGGGGTGCGTTGTCACGAAGGGTCATTGGCTGGTCCAGGGCACTGCGAGTCCCAGCCTCTCATTTCAGGGGTGACTCACACTAATAGTCTCAGTGGCTTTGTTGTAGAAGCACAGACAGCTGTGGCCTCCCGACCACTGAGCCACCAGCCGGGCTGAGCTTGGCTGGGTGGACCTGGGCCCTGGGCTGCGCCGCCTGGCCACCTGGGGCTGTAATGATGGCAGTTGAGCCAGTGCCAGCATCCTGAGGACGAGGAGGAAAGAAACGACGACCTTGGAGGCTGGCCGACCTGGCTGGAGTCTCTGCTCCTCTACTTGGTGGCTCTGTGATGTTGAGTCAGCCACTGGACTGTCTGAACCCCAACTTTAACAGTTCTGGTCAGGGGCCACCAGGCACGTTCTGGGTGCCTGGCTTCTGGCTGAGCACTTCACATGCATTGTCTCCTTTGATCTTGACGCTGGGCCTGTGAGGGTTAGGAGCACAGAGGCCGGAGCACCTTGTCCAAGGTCACATGCCTGCTGGGTGGTGGGGCTGAGTCGGACTCTGGCCGCCTGCCCGGAGAGCTTGTCCTCACCTCTCTGACAGTGGTTGTGGGGATTATGAACCCACTGCACCCTGTGCGCAGGATCTGAGATGTAGTCTGTGCCTGATGAATGGGGTCTGTTATTTGAAAAGAGGACAGTTGAGCTGAGGGAAGGGAGAAGTCTGGGAAGACTTCCTGGGGGAGGTGCTACTTTTACTGGGCCCTGACAGCAACTCCATGGGGAGAATGGGCAACGTGGAAGGATGCAGACACATCCACCAGGGTATGGGGGTCTGGCCTGATCGATGGGTGACAGATGTAACATGGCCTATAGGCATGCTTCCTTTTTTTTTTTTTTGCCTAGAGAATGTTTTTGTTTGTTTGTTTAAGCAATTTTCAGTTACTTGCCAAGACTTAACAATCAGGAGTGTTCACGGACGTGTCTGAAGATCTGGATGCTGGGTGTTCCTGGATGGCGGCAGGTGGCCTCCACGCTCCCTGCCGCGCCTGCCGCTATCACTGTACAGGGAGGTTCTAGGGATTCTAGAAACTGGTTTCTTTTGGAGATAGCAGGGAGTGGGGACCAGGGTGTCTGGAGTTGGCCACCTGCCTGGGCTCCGGGGTGGGGTGCACTGCACCCCTGGGAAGGCTGCACGGGAATGGAGGCAGGAGCGGTTGGTGCCCCCGAGGGTACGAGGGCGGTGGCCGACGGCAAGGGTGAGGCCTGCGTGGCCAGCTGGGACGTGGATGGGAGAAAGAAGGCCATGAAGTGGGGTTGTCCTCTTCATGGGAGGACCGTGAAGGCAGCCCAGACGAGGAAAAGAGGAAGAAAGTGGGGTTGGGGGGGCAGAGGAGCAGGGTCATAAGGGACCGCTTTGCTCAGCTCTTTCAGCGTGCTGGAAAACCCGAAAGCGGCGCAGATTGCGTTCTGGGGAAGTATGACCTACCCAGCTGACTCGAGATAAGATGGAAAAAATCCAAGCAGATTATCATTGTGGAAGAAATGGGAAAAGTTATCAGAGGGCCCCTTTCCCCCCCCAAAAGGGCTTAAGGTTCTGATGGTGTTGCTGACTTGTCCTCAGTGTTGAAAGCACAGATTAGAGCCTGGCAGGACCAGCTGTGGGTGTGGGAGGTGGTCTGGGTGGGAGGTAGAGCAGGGAACGGATGGGTGTTCAGGCCTGGAGCGAGGGGTGAAGCCGCCCCCAGGAAAGGGAAGTGGGTAGGAGCTGGTGAGGAGAGCGGAGGGGTCTGCCTGCAACCCCAGTGGGGCTGTGGGGCATCACCACCCAGGCCGAAGAGGGGTCTGAGGTCAGAGCGGCCCCCATCCAGTCAAGGATGCCAGTGCCAGGCTGCTTCCTGTCAGTGAGCCATGTGCGCTGGGCGGACGATTCCAGGTGGTGGTGCACGCCGGGGAGGAAGGAAGCCCGGCCATGTGACGTGGGGCGGGTCGTGGGTGGGCCCTTGAGAGGTGAGAAGGTGCCAGGCAGGTGGAGGACAGACCACAGATGGGAGGTGGGCAGTGGTGTTGAGGGGCTGGGTGAGGTGCAGGGGTGGGTTTGGATTTGGGGTGACGCGCCGTGGGCACGTGCAGCAGGGTGGTTTAGGCAGGGCAGGGACGCGGACTCCAGCGGCGTCATGGAGGCGTGAGTCTCCTAGCACACGACCCCCGCTGCGGAGTGCACAGTGGCGTGGGGGTTGATGTGCTCACAGGTAGGTGCGCCCACCCCCACAGAACATTGTCGTCATCCCAGAGAGACCGCACCCACTCCCCTTTCCCTGCCCCCAGGGCCTGGGAGTCACTCATCCGTGTCCTGTCTCTGTGGGTTTGCCGTTCTTCACGCACGACGCGGTCTCTGTGTGGCTCCTTCACGCGGTGTGATGTGTTCAGGGCTCCTCCGGGATGCGGTGCGTCAATGCTTCATCCCCTGTGTGACGGAATAACGTTCCGTGGAAGGATCGGACCACAGTTT